AGATGCAGAGATATACCTTCAAATATCTAGCAGCCATGGAGAGCCGGCCAATATCACACAAAAGATTCACAGCATGATCTAAGCATGATACAGCCTCTGCACCAGAAAAGAGAGAAAAAAGAATAAACGCTATCATTTTTTACACTATGCAACTGGTAAAAATGCTAACATGTGCTAGACTGATATATATCTCATTCAAGTTAAGCTACATAATCATGAATTCCGACTAACCAATATCCAGAAAATAACAAATCAAAATATAGAATAAAAACATCTGTAAAAGAATCGTATCAGACGGAAATTCAAAATGTCAGCAACTTGCACAAATTATTTTCAATAACTGACTAAAACAAGTTTAGATGTATGAAACTAATCCCTAGTTAAAGTTTGTTCAAAGCATATACGTTGTTTGATTTATAGATATGGTTGGCTCAATCGTCGACATAGCATAAGGATTTTTTTTATATCACATGATTATGCAAAGAAGATACCATTGCCTTATTTGATTTGCTTTAAAAAATTGATAAATAGAAATACTAGTGCTAAACAGAATTCGCCTTAATGTTGGAGGCAAGAGCAGCATTTGGTGCAGAATTTTACATCAGATACCGATAACTACTTACATACATACCACTTATATTAGTCTTTTTATAGCAATGCGCAGCATCAACATAAGCCTGTGAAGCCTCGTGCTTGCTTTCCAACTAGAAAAAGAAGAACAGAATGTCATAGCAGGCTTCAAAGAAATATACCAGCAAAAACCTAATTCATATTTGTTACCTTCAAATGACAATTCGCCAACTTAACATAAGTCGATCCCGCTTTGTCCCCTAAAATGCCAAATAGATGAATGAAAACAACATCCAGAACTACTCCATCCTAAATCCTCAATCACAAAACTAATCACATTTATTCATAACAAATTAAAGCAATAAAAAAATCAAGCAACAAAAATCAACAATCACATTAATAAAGTATAGTATATAGTATAGTATATACTATATACTAATTTACACAGTGAAAAACAATGATAATTTCATCATATCTCACAAAACTCCAGAAACTATTTTCTATCGCAACTAATTAACCAGATCAATAACCATTTCGAATCAGGAATTGAAAACCTAAAAATAACGATAACAATTTCAGTAACTAGTTTAACATTCCACCGAGTAACGAAACCGAGAAAATACATGATTTAGCGAGTTTGAACGAATTGGCGGCTTTATCGAAGAGATCGGCGGCATCTTCGAATTTCGAGCCGAATAAGCCCCAACCGCTGAGCTTCTTCTCAGCTTTCTTCTCGAAATCCTCTGCCCTTGCTAACTGATCGGCCATTTTACTCCGATCGGAAGCAGAAAATGGATCGATTCACTGAGTTGTTGAAAAAATTAGGTGAAGAAGAATCATAAGAGAAAGGGGGGGAATAGAGAGATATTAGAGATAGACTCTGAAGCCCTGAAAACTGCAAATGAAAAAGTGGGAAATAGGAACAAGACGAAACGAAAAGGTCTAAGCCAGCGAAAATTGTCAACTTTTTTCCTTTTTTTCTTAAAATAAATTATTTAATACGACTTTGGTCGATTTTATGAAAATATAATTCTTTCAAATTTTATTTTAAATTGAATAAAATTTAACAGATATACATACTCATTACAATTTGTTATTCTAAAGAAATTTTAGAATCACAATACTGAGATATTTAAATATATTTCATTTTTATTATAATTAATAAAATATCAGTGCATAACATATTTGGCTTTCATTATAACAAACTAAACATCTACTCGCCATGGATCAATTTATTAAATTATTATTAATAGATACTTATTTATATATTTGTATTAATATTTTTTATTGAATTTAATGTATAAATAAAAATTAAAAATATTTAACAATTTATAGTTCATGTTTATGTTCATTATAATCAACTTAAAAAATGAATAAAAATATTATAATATAATATTCATATATTCATTATTGTGAATTTAGTATATTAACATGGGACATTATTAAAAAAATCATTTTTTCAACCACTTAGATAGTCACCCTATCTATTTTATTCATATTTATTCATAATATAGAATAAAAATAGACAAATATTAATATAATTATTTTCATTACAATCTACTTAAAAAGTAAATTAAAATTTTTAATTAATATAATATAGACATATTTAATATTATGAGTTTATTATGATAATATTTTTTTATTCATTAAATTGATTTACATCATATCAATATTTTTATAAATCATTGTTACTTTTCAATTAAATTTAAATTAATAATAAAATTAATAGGACAAAACATATAATTAATTGATAAAAAAGAAGAAAATTGCAATAATAAGAAGACAAGACTAAATCCATTAAATTAACGAATGAAAGAATAAATAAAATAAATGATAAAAACAAAATAAGAAAATAAAGATAGATTAAAAATAGAAAACTAAGAGGTCAAATGATTCTTAAAAAATCTCTCATAATAAAATGTAGCAGTGTGTTCAAGATAAATATAGTTGTTATTATTTATACTTGCAATATCTACAAAGCCTACAAAAATACATAATGTATTTTACATGAAAATAGAACAATTGAGCATGAAATTTAATAAGATAAATAAATCTACAAATAGTTATTAGGAAAAAAAAATCTCTTATTGATTGAAGTTAGAGTTGTAATACCCCAAAATTTGATTAATTTATTTAATTGAATTATTTTTATTTTTATTTGATTAATTAGTAGGTGGTATGCTTTTAATTAAATAAAGTGTGTGTGTTTGTGCATGCGTGCGTGCGCGCGCGCGTGCATGCGTGTGTGTGGTAATAGTAAGTTGATAGAATAATTAGAAATAATTAGATTTAATAGTTATTTTTAATTAATTAAATATGTGAGAAAATAATGGAAAATGTAGAGGTGAGGTAATGAGAAAAAGGGATATTAAGGGAGATAAGAGTATGAGAAGAATAATAGAGGGGAGAAAATTAGAATTATTAGTAAAATGAAATGATTAGATTAAACCTAATTATTTAAGTTTATAATTAACCTAGAACGATGAAATTAAAAATTTTGGAGAGAGGATGCAAGAACTCAAGGAGACAAGACTATGGCTTGAAGAGGGAAAAACACAAACCACCAACCTTGATCAAATTCAGATTTTTGCTGCTAAGAATTTGAGATAAGAGGAGAGAAAGTGTTTTTATATGGGTGTTTTGTATAAAAGGGTAGAAGATGGACCCTTACTCTCTTTAGAATTATATTGTGAATTGTAATTATGTTTCAACTTGTTGATGTGTGTTAATATGAATTTTTGAGCATGATAATGTTATAATTTTGTTTTTAAGATGGATTTTAGTGTGAGTTATGTGTCATAAAATATTATTTATGTTTATTTGGACAAACATAAAATCCAAGAAATTCATGATGATAATATATAATTTTGTTGATGTCAATTTGTGATATATTGTGAGTTTGTTATTTTAATCATTGGATAATTGTTGTATGTCGAATTTTGAGACTGATATTTTTTACATAATCGAAATCAAAGGTTCTAAAGACCTCTAACAATGAAAAACGCAGAAATTTTACATTCTGCAATAAGTGACGCTCGTCACCCTTGTAACAGACTTCTCGTCATAGCTTCCAACGAGCTGAAGGGTGTCAGCTTTGTGACGGTCCACCCGTCACGACCAAACTGATTTGGTTCAAATATTATTTTTGTCATAATTTGAGTTTTGTGACTCTGTTTGAGATGCGATTTGAAGCATTGGAAAACTAATACATAGTATTATCACATGGTGATTCGTTAAGAGGCTAAATATGCAGTTAAGGACATTAATATACTATTTTATTTAAGGTGTAACATCATTGACGGTTAATGATGATGAAAGAAGCTTAATTGTTGTGTGTTATATTATACATGTGATTATGGTTAAATTGACTATGCTATTTGATGAGTTTATGGGTTTTGGTGAATGATTATATGAAGTTTGTATAATTATGATAATTATATTATTATGGATTATTACTGTTGATAGGATAATGAGTAAGTTATCTAAATGTTGTTGTTGAGTTGTGTATTAATGATGTGAATGCGTGTAAGGTTGTTTGGTGATATTTTTACTGATATGTTATAAATATTACCATGTGTTCTATAAGTATAATTATATGGTGATTAATTATGTGTTGTTATTGTGATTATTGGATAGTAATTCAGAAGGGGTAATTATCATTATGTTGTCAATGTATGTTGTTTACAATCAGAAGAGGGGCTTAAACACTGTTATTGTTATTGCGTTGATTTGTATGACATGCATCATTTGTATCGTGTTGTTGAATGAGACATGTTATCTATTTCAGAAGGAGGGACTAGTGGATTGTCTCAAGATTAGAAATGGACTTAGAGCTCAGAAGGGGGCTCATAAGTTCAGAAGGGGACTCGGTTCTTGAGAGAATCAAATATTGAGTCGGTACCACATGTGTAATGTCACATTGTGTTACGAGTCTTATTGAAATATGTATATATTATTGTGGAATGGGTGTGTGATTTTGATGATGTTGATTGTGTATTGAATGTATGATTTGTTATGTGTTTATCTACCTTTGCATTCATTACACTGGTTCATGTCGAAGTTTATTTCTCACTCATTTGCTTAATGTTGTCCACCATGGATATCTTGCAGATAATTAGGAGTAGAGTTTTATTGTTGTTAGTGGAAGATAGCTTATTGGAGCTTACCTTTATTTATTTATCTATCACTTATTGAATTTTCAATGGTTTTATTGCTCTGATATTGTAACATCGGGAATGACGTGTTTTATTATGTTTTGAGTGAATGTTGAATTGTGTTGTTTAGAGTTTGATACTTTATTTGAGAAATTTTTTAATGGAAAATGTTAGATTGTTGCATGATGAAAAATATGTTGATTTTCCGATTGTACACCAAGTGTTCGATAGTTTGCTTAGTATTGTTTTTTATTATAAATTTCATTAGAAATAGATTGCCTTTGTAATCATATTCAAATATGCGATTGTGAAAATATATTGGCTAAGTAACTTATCACTTTTACGCATATTTGAGCTTTCCGATAACAGTTTGGATTATATGACATTTTTGATCCAGGATTGTTTTTCGTTGTCCATAGTTAACAAAAGTTTTTAAAACTAATTTTCACAAGAAATTTTTAACTTGGGATCTATTCACCCCCCCCCCCTAGATAAGTTGTCTTTATCTAACAAGTGACATCATGAGCTCCGGTTGATTTCGTGTTTCAAAAAAACTTATTATATTATGGCTTCCGAATCTAAAGGGGCGTACAATATATCTCATCTTATCAAGGACTTTCGAACCTAAAGCCCTTGTCTACAAAATTTCATGAAAAACGTTAATTTTTATCGTTCTCTTTAACATATCAAATGATTTTTTATTGATGTGAAATTTTACAGGCATGATCTATATGATAATTATTTTACTCCAAAATTTTCCCTCATTTCTCAAAAAAATATCTCACAAGATCTCCATTGATTCAAGACTATACAAAGTTTGATCAGCTTAAGACACCTCCTCAAGCACTGATGACTCAAATTAGGATTTGAGTTTGTAAAAATATAATTGAACTTTTAAAGCCTCAAATGACTTTAATGGATCATTTTAGACCCTCAAGATTTCTCATATCAAGTTTCAAGTCTTGGATCACATTTTTGCTCAGTCAATTGATCAGTTGACCTAAAATCAGTTGTATTGAGGAAAAAGTCAATTGTCGTCAATTTAAAGTCAAACTTCATAATTTTTGGTCCATGTCAACATTATAAACTCATATATGTCATTTGATCAAGTTTGGATCACAATTCCTCAAGAAATTTGATCAGATCATCAAAAGGGCAAAATGGTCAAAATTAAGGTTTTGACTGAGAAGGTGCAATTTTTTACTTTTGACTTAACAAATGAATTATTGGTTTAATACATGATCTCAAGGATTCAAATACTTCATTTTGACCTAATGGCATGGCTCAAAACATTTCTCAAGATCAATTGATTGATAGTTGAATTCCAATCAACTGATAAAAAGTCAACTGTACACTGAAAAGTTAAACTTTGACTTTTGGATCAAAATCAAGTTTCAAAGATTACAATTCATTAAGACATGTCAAAATATGAAACTTGTTCATCAAGGAATCAAAAAGTCAAATTTCATTTTGAAAAGTCGAAATTTTTAAAACTTAGAATTTTTTCCAAGTGTTGGAAAAGTTCACTTTTTTCATAACTTTGAGTCAAATTTCCACCATGATGCAAGGTGATTCAAGAGAAACTTTCAACATGAAAGTTGTAGATCTCAATGA